GTGCGGTTGGCGCAGGATAGAGCAGGGTTTAGGGCTGTTGTGCATAGGGTCGCTATGAGTCGGAAACGACTCGACGGCACATAACAACAACAACAACAATTGTTTCTTTTACTCACTGAGTAGTGAGTGTAACAGCATGTCAACAAAACCTAAACATAGCCCTCTAACAATCAGGAAGTGATGGGTCTAGGCACTTAAACCTCCTACATATGATGAAACACAAACATATAAAACCATTATCCAAAAATGTAGATTACTGAATAATTTTACTAACTTGAGACTTACTTGTAATAAGGATGTGTCTGACTAAATTATATTAAAACTGTATCTCAAACACTTTGCTTTAAAAGGTTAGTATAGTCAAACAAAAACAAACAAACAAACAAACAAAAAATCACTTTGGAGAAAAAGCCCCCCTTTAAAAAAATCTCCTGAAGGCAAAGGCTTATTTAACCATGAATCTCAGCTTATATGTTCTTCTGGTTGTTATGTAGTGTCCAGTTAGAAATGACTCCTACTTGACCCTCCAGTGGGTTTTCAAGGACATTCAACATTCTTGGTACCAGCAGTCAGGAAATCAAATGACAAATTGCATTGGGAAGTCTGCTGTCAGAGACCTCTCCACAGTACTGAAGAGCAACAATGTCAGTCTGGAGACTCTGGTGTGCTTGATCCAAGCCATGGTTCTTTGCAATTACTTGCTCTGCATTCAAGAGCTGGACAGTAACTAAGGATGATAGAAGTATTAATTCCTCTGAGTTGTGGTGCTGGCAAAGAGTGGTGAACATACAGTGGACTGCCAGGAAAACAAACAGGTCTGTCCTGGAGAAGGTGAAACCAAGCTGCTAACTGGAGGCAAAGATTTTGAAGCTCCATCTCCATATTTGGGAATGTGGCCAGGAGAAAGGCATCATGCTTAGAAAACAGGAGGGACAGAACAGGAGATGAAGACCCAGGACGAGATGGACTAACTCAGTGACTGGAGAAATGGGATTAGGTATGTCCCAGACAATGAGACTGGCTCAGAATAGGGCAAGGTTCAGAGCTAAAGTACACTGGGTCACTATGAATGGCAGGTGACTCGATGGCACACAACAAATCACACAGGAGACTGCCCTTCTTTCTCCTGTGGAGCACCTAGTGGATTCAAACCAAGTATCTTGGGGTTGACAGCACTAGTCTTTCCAACTAGGCCACCAGTGCTCCCTAGCTTGTATCTAGGTAGGTACAAAATTCCAAACCTAATATTGTTATTCTTGTTATGAGCCATTGAGTCACCTGTGACTCATAGCGACCCTATGTACAACAGCCCTAAAACCTGCTCTATCCTGTGCCAATCTTATTGTCTCTGACACATCTACCCCTATTACCCCAGACAATGAAACAATCCATCTCATCAAGGGTTTTCCTCTCTTGTGCTGTCCTTCCACCCTCCCATGCATGATGTCCCTCTCAAAGGACTGGTCCTGCCTTGCAACATGTCCAAAGTATGTCAGATGAAGCTTCAGAATCCTTGCCTCCAAGGAGCAGCCTGGTCTCAACCTCTCTAGGTTGAACTTTTTTGTTCTTCTAGCAGTCCATGATATATCCAATACTCTTCTTCAGCACCACAGCTCAAAGGCATTAATTCTCCTATCATTCCTAGTCATTGTCCAGCTCTCTGATGCATAGCAAGTAATTGCAAAGATAATGGCCTGGATCAGGTGCACCTTAGTCTCCAGACTGACATGGTTGCTCTTCAGTACTTTGGAGAGATCTCTGACAGCAGACTTTCCCAATGCAATTCTTTTTATTTCCCGGCTGCTAGTACCAAGAGTGCTGATTGTGGAGCCAAGCAAACTAAAGCTGTTAACAATATCGATCTCTTCACTATCTATCATGATGCTGCCAATTGGCCCAGAGGTGAGAATCTTTGTTATCTTGATGTTGAGCTTCAACATTACTTCAATGCTGCAATCCTTGGCCTTCTGCAACAAGCACTTCAGGTCTTTCTCAGTTTCAGCAAGCAGGGTTGTGTCATCTGCGTAACGCAGACTGATCAGTCTACCTCCAATCCTGATGCCACAATTCTCCTCATAGAGTCCAGTTTCCTTGATAATCTGTTCTGCACATGTTGTTGTTGTTATGTGCCGTTGAGTCGCCTGCGACTCATAGTGACCCTATGTACAACAGCCCTAAACCCTGCTGTATATTGTGCCAATCGCACTGCCTCTGACACACTCACCCCAAATACCCCAGTTACTAAATCAATCCACCTCATAGAGGGTCTTCTCCTCTTGTGCTGTCCCTCAACCCTCCCAAGCATGATGTCCCTTTCCAAGGACCTGTCCCTCTTTACAACATGTCCAAAGTATGTCAGACGAAGCCCCAGAATCCTTGCCTCCAAGGAGTAGCCTGGTTTAACTCTCTCTCTCGAATAAATCTGTTTGCTTTCTTGGCAGTCCATGATACATTCAATACTCTTCTCCAGCACCACAGCAAAGGCATCAATTCTCCTTCTATCCTCCCTAATCATTGTCCAACTCTCTGATGCATAACAAGTGAATGCTAAGACCATAGCCTGTATCAGACGCACCTTAGTCTCCATATAGATTTTAAAAAATAGAGAGATAGGACGCATCCCTGGTGTACACCCTTCCCAATTTTGAATCTAACATAGGTACTAAAAGATTTACAATTTATATAGATAAGCTGTTATTTTTGCTGTGTGCCGTTGAGTCAGAATCAACTCATATAACCATCCAACAGGGTTTTCAAACGCTGAAAATCTCACAGGAAGAGAATGCCTATCTCCTACCTATGAAGCAGCTGGCAGATTTAAATTGCCTCCCTTTAGGTTAGCAAGGCAACTTCCTACCCAATAGGCCACCAGAGTATAAGTACAAAAATGTATTAAAGTATTTCAAATTAAAATAAAATGTATTACAACTTACATAAATACTATGTAAAACAAATGAAAGCTAATAATGGTCTCTACAGGTGAGAGTTTTAAGCAAACATATGAACATTTGCAGGAACCACTATGTTGTTGTTACGTGCCATCGAGTGGCTTGCGACTCATAGCGACACTATGTACAAGAGCCCTAAACTCTGCTCTGTCCTGTGTCAATCGCACTGTCTCCGATACACCCACCTCGATTACCCCAGTTACTGAATCAATTCACCTCATAGGCACAGGAACCACTATAGTGAATAATAATTCTTTAGCTCTCATTTTTTTTTTCTTGAACATTCATTACCTCCTCCTTCCAACCTACTCTATTAGGAAATAAGTTTCTCATGCTTCAACTGTTTCTACAATCTTCCTTCTGTCCCATTTTTGAAATCTAGAGCACAATCTTGAAGACATTTTTCAACAAATACACTGAAATAAGCACATGTATGTTCACTGAAAGAAAAGGGAGACCTAATTTTAACCAGAGACCAAGTAGCAGCAACTAGGGAATTAGCCTGCTGTCTTCTTGTCACCTGATCTAAATGCAACCCTAAAGACCAGAGTAGAATTGCCCTGGTAGCCCAATGGCTAAAGAATCTGGCTTCTAACCAAGAAGTGAGTGTTGAGCTCACCAGTTGCTCTTAGAGAGAAAGAGGAGACAGTCCCCTGCACGGTTGCTAGGAGTCTGAACCTACTCAGTGATGGTGGGTTTACAATCATCTCCAAAAGGTTGCCGTGAGCATGGGACCTCTCTGTCGGGTGGGTTCCATAGTCCACCTATTTGTCAGTTATAAAGCAGATAGTGCTTAACCACTGTGTCACCATCAAGCAAAAGAAAATTCACTGCCTTCAAGTTGATTCTGACTCACAGCATCAATCATAGAATCGCTCTCATATAAGGCTGAGTATCTTTAAGCTTACTGTCACATGTTGTTCCTCTCAAGTAACTTCTGGTGGGTTGGAACCACTAACCTTTCAGCTAGCAACCAAGTGCTTTGATGATGTGTCACCAGGTTTCCAACTTAAGGGGCTATGTCTATTCATTTCTTCATTGACTCAAATATTAGAGTACATGTTATCAAGAAGGACCAATCCCTAGAGAAGGATATCATGCTTGACAAAGAGGGTCTGCAGGAGAAGAGGAAAATCCTTAACAGATGGAAATACAGAGACTGCAACATGCGACTCAAGTGACACCGTGAGAATGGCACGAGCCTGAGCAAGAGGGTTTGTTTGGAGCCCCCCCAAGTCCCTCCCACTTCACAGCACTAAGCAATAACAACATCAAAATAGCTGTTGAAAGCAAATGGCCTTGCCTTCAGTACCTTCTGGAGAAAACCAAAAACAAACCCTAACAGTAGAAAATCTAGGGATTTATGGCCACGCCCCCATGAGGCACAATGATTAAAGATTACAGAATTAGAAATCGAGGCCTTTGAATTGTTGGGCCGGAAGCAGTGAACATATAAGCCTACCAGGGACTGCCAAAAGAACAAGTCTTTCTTGGCAAAAGTGCAAGCAGAGTACACTTGGCGGAAAAGAGGGCAAAACTTCATCTGACACACTTTGGGCAGGCTATTAGACGTGGCCAGTTCTTGAAAATAAGGAATGATGTTGGGAAAGGTAGAGGGTCTGAGAAAATAAGGAAGACCCTCAAGATGAACTAACACACAGACTATAATAACGGGCTCAAGTACATCAGAATTGTGGTAACAGCGCAGGAGAGGGCAAAGTTCAGATCTGTTGTTCTCAGAATTGTAGTCGACTCGATGGCAATTAACAAGAACAATCAGGCAGTAATGTCAGAATCCCGGAGGCTAAACTGTTCTGTGTTTCGAATCCACTCCCTCTGCGAAAGCAATGAGGCACGCTCTATGAGGATTTAAAAGCTCGGAAACACGATGGAGGATCGCCACGAATCGGAATCACTAAACGGTAGTTAGTTTGTTTTCTTGAGAGGTTTTTGTTGTTTAGGGCTTTTCTTGGAGGGTGGGAGACCCAAAGTCCAGAATTTGCAATCCCTTCAAGTGTTCTGAGAACCTACGGGAACTGGGGAAACCCAGCAATCTTTCGCCAGAAAGCATTCACAAGAGCTTGGAAGACCTCAGGAAAAACTGATGGTTGGCCCTTAGGACTTATAAAGCCCTAATGCAGTACACAATCAAGAAACATAACGGAACAGCACTGACTTACCTCGGATATCCACAGCCGCCATAGTGCCACTGGCACTCGCGAGCACTTCCGGCGTACAATAAACGTAAGAGGTCGCAGCAGATCGCGTTGCTGATGAAGCAAGCAAAGAGGGGAGGGACGTGCAAAGGGAGGAAGAACGGAAATGAGAGGAGAGTGCGTGGAAGAGGAGGAAGGGGGGCAGGGA